TAGAAGTTGTTTGAAAAAATATCTAGGAAGGCTTAGGCTAGATACCAGCCAGTACCAAGTAATAAAAAAGTCAGTCTTCCTGATTCTGGGGAACAAGGATTTTGGATTATCCTATGCATGGGAGAAAGAATGGAGACCCGCTGCCTTGATTTGTAACTATTTCTGCTTTTTACTTAAAGAAAGAGTTTCTTTTATTTCTCTCTTCATGCTTCTCCTTGAATTCCCCCTCCATTCTCTACTGGTAGGTCTTGGGAGAACTAGAAGCCAAAAAAATGGGCCCGCCTGTGGCTCAAAGGAGTAGGGCGCCGGCCCCATATGCCAGAGGTGGTAGGTTCAAATCCAGCCCCAGCCAAAAAGTGCAAAAAAGTGGGTCTCACTTCCCATTCAGTAATCCACAGCTGAATCATGCAAATACCCATTTTAGGAATTTGTGTTTCTAGTTGCTCCTAACTGGTATTGCAATTATTGTAAATGCTTTGAAGGAAACTTTAACTGTTAATTACTCTTGGATCAGGTACCTATATTATTGCCTGTTCCTAATTTCATGATTACAGCTTCTAGATAGAAACTAGACAGATACAAAATCAAGAGTTGAAGGACGGGTGGGGTGGCTCACACCTATAATCCCAGCACTCTGGGAGGCAGAGGCAGGAGGATCCCTTGAGGTCAAGAGTTTAAGATCAGCCTGAGCCAGAATGGGGCCCCATCTCTACTAAAATAGAAAAATTAACCAGGTGTGGTGGTGGGTGCCTGTTGTCTCAGCTACTCAGGAGGCTGAGTCAGGAGGATCACTTGATCCCAGGAAACAGTTTGAGGTTGCTATGAGCTAGGCTGATGGGTAGTACTCTAGCTTGGAGCAACTAAGTCAGACTGCCTCAAAAAAAAAAAAAGAGTTGAAGCGAGCAGATACATAGAAGACTTTGCAATGTCACATTCTAGAACAGAGGTTTCGGTGGAGTCTGAGAACTCTCTGAAATGGCAGATGACCCTGTGTCTGTCTTAACATGCATTTTTCTAGGAGCGAGGATCCATATCAGATCCGTAAACAGGAGAGGAAGAACTGCTTCCCTGCAGGGGAAACGAGGCTCATAAAAGCTCATGTTCCAACATGAATTTCCAAAAATGAAAGTATTTGCGGCTACCCAAGACATAAAACTGAGAAATCTGCAAAAATATACATTCGGTTTGGGAAACGTATTATTTTTATAGTTCATCGATAAAGACCCAAGATTGTAGAAATAGCTAAATGCCATTCCCTTTATTAAACATACCAGGGAAAATGATTAAAAATGCAAATATCCCCGCTGATTCTGGAATCCTATCAAGAACAAGATGAGGTGAAAAATAAAAGGACTTGGTAAGAGTTCCAAACATATTCGATTTTATATTTCACAAGCACATCTGGAGACAGGGGCATACTGTGAAAAGCTCAGGACTTGGAGACAAGAACCCTGGATTTGAATTCTAGTTCTACTTCTTTTTATTTATAGAGCCTTGGGGGCCTCATTTACCTTTTCTGAAGCCTTTTTTCCTCTTCTGAAAACGAGGGGAATGTACCAAATGATCTCCTGTGTACCTCTTAGTTCTTATAGTTGAGGACTCTAGAAATGTCAGCCTCATGCCTGGCTCGTATTAAAGCATAAATGATGACCATGGAATTCCTTAACCAATGGCTCCATTGCTTATGATCTGGGTGACTCTGAACAAATGGATTTTCGTACGTCTTAGCTACCTCCTCTTGTGAAATGAAAGCAGTAATTCCTCACATACTCAGCCTCCACCTCTAAGCTGTTTAGAGCAGAGCTCCTTCAGTGTGTTCCCAGAGTACAATTTTAATAGGTGTTGTAAAGAAAGGTGGCAAGACGAGGTTCAACCAAGTCAAACAGATTTCTTCACTGCAGAGTTGGGGACTTTCTCACTATCCTGTGCTTTGGTGGCTCTCCTAAGGGGAAGTGGTGTTAGACAGTGTTGTCCCAACTTATTTTTGACCTCAGAGCTCTTTTTTCCTGGAGCCTCTCAAGGGGGCTGATATTCCTCAAACCACCTATTTGGCCATAGAGAAATATTGTTTAAAATGAAATGGCTTGTTATTATGATAAATTTTTCCAACTTTGTTCTCTGTCCCACCTACAGAAATCATTTGTAGTTTATTTCTTATGATTTTATATTCTTACCAGAATTATCACTTCTGTAATATGTAGGCAGATTCCTTTTCCATTCAAACTCTCACGTCCTTCAACTTTCCAGATGGTTACCCAAGTGCCAATTACATCTTCTGGTCTGAGAAACTCCACATCCCTTTAAATACTTCAACCATACCAAGATTGATGGGTTGATTTTTTTAATTAATTAATTCTATTTTATTTTATATTTTTTGAGACAAGAGTCTCAAGCTGTTGCCCTGAGTAGAGTGCCATAGTGTCACAGCTTATAGTAACCTCCAACTCTTGGGCTTAAGCGATTCTCTTGCCTCAGCCTCCCAAGTATCTGGGACTACAGGTGCCTGCCACAATACCTGGCTATTTTTTTGTTGCAGTTGTCATTGTTGTTTTAGCTGGCCTGGCCTGGGTTTGAACTCGCCAGCCTCAGTGTATGTGGCCAGTGTCGTGCCCACTGAGCTACGGGCACCACCTTAATTAATTTATTTTTTAGAAACAGGGTCTTACTCTGTCACCTAAGCTGGAGTACAGTGGTGTGAGCAGCCTAGAACTCCTGGGCTCATGAATCCCCCTGCCTCAGCCTCCTGAGTAGCAGGTACTATAGGCATATTTCATCATGCCCAGCTAATTGTTAAATATTTTTGTAAAGATGGGATCTTTCTGTATTATCCAGGCTGTTCTTGAATTCCTGGCCTCAAGTGATCCTCCTGCCTTGGCCTCCCAAAGTGCTAGGATTACAGATGTGAGCCACTGCACCTGGCCTTAGAGGTTAATTTTTGACAACAGTGAGCAGTGATGTCCTTGCTGCAACATCAGATATTTTTGAATGGTTGAAACATACCAGACACTGTAGCAGGCTCAAGGAATACCAGGGCCAATGAGCTGTGTGAATGTCCATGCAAATGCTCATGATCTGAGCAAGGGGGACAAGATCACTGCCCAAATGGAGAATCAATGTTACATACAAAAATGCTAGAAGGGCTTGAAAGAGGAAG